AGAGTAAACAGGTGGGGGAGGTGAAGGAGACGGTGGAGGAGGAGGGGGACTGGAGACCGGTGGAGGCAAAAACACTGGAGCAGGAGGTGGTGGTGAAGGCACCGGCATTGGCGGTGAAGGCGGCGGAGGTGATGGCAAAGTTGGAATAAACCGATGACACTTGAAAGCACCGCAATGAATTCTCTTAGACGAGAACATTTGACATTGTGCAGCGGACCTTTGAGCCGGCCTATTCGGCAAGCAATTCCGTTTATCATCAAATTCCGGCAAAGCCAAACACACCGGAGGCTCACCAGTAAAGAAGTTATACGAGTACGTAAAATTCTCAAGCCTTGGCAATTGACATATACTCTGTGGAATACTCCCACTAAGCATATTATGAGCCACATTTAACTGCTCCAAACTCACCATTCCTCCAATACTATCCGGCAAAGGCCCCATCAACTGATTATAGCTCACATCAAACACCGTCAAATTCTTCAAAAGCCCAATTTCCGGGGGCAAACATGACCTCAATCCATTGTTCATCAGTATAATCTCATTCAAATTGCTCATGTTACCAAGACTAGCAGGAACACAACCATGGAACTTGTTGTTAGCCAATACAATCACAGAAACCGGAGAATTGCCAAAATTATCAGGCAATTCAAAGGAAAATCTGTTATGATTGATGAATATGGCATCCAAAGGTTTGTCAAATAGTTCAGAAGGGACAGTTCCTTCAAACTCATTAAATCGTATATCTAAATATATCAACTTAGGCAAACTCAGCACAACATAAGGGAATTTCCCAGCAAACCTGTTATTGCTTATGTCCAATTCAAAGAGTATCTTCAAGTTCTTGAATTTTTTGGGCAGGGTACCGCAAAACCTGTTGGAGTTGATGTGAAAAACAGCCAGATCTGTGAGCAAGCCGAGTTCTTCAGGGAGATACCCAGCAATGTCACCATGGTTGAGGTCAATGCTACCAACTGTACGAATAGAAGAATTGTCCGGTGCCCGAGCACAGAATACTCCGGTATATTTACACACACCAGATCCGACCCAATTCGCAGTGAGATTTTGGGGATCTGAGAGAATAGCCTGTTTCAAAGCTTGTAATGCAATGTACGCATTTCTCAGCCTTGGATTTTCGAACACAAGTGAAGGGTCAACCGTCACATTCTCGCCTCTATCCCCAAACTCATCTCTGTAGTACAGAAGCTGCCTTTTCTGGATGAAGTGAACTTCAGCATTGGTGAGAGGCCCATTGCTGCTGACTGAGTAGTGGGTTACATGAGCATAAGTAACTCCCGGAGATGAAAACGAAGGTAGCAAAAGTGAAAGAATGAATTGAAAATATACAATGCAAGTATTCTTTTCCTTCATCTCACGGCAGACATCTGAAGCTCAAATTCTCTCTTTTTTTATGCGTTTTTCTTCTCCTTCAATGCTTGATTTCAAAATGCGAGATGAAGATGAACGAGAGAGATCTGAAATATGGGAGTTTGGGGTGTGGGTTTTGAGATTTGGCGGTGGTGAAGGTGTTTTGAAGAGAGAGAAAAAATGAAGAGGTGGGGTGTTTTCGGAGAGTTATGTGTGAGAGAGAGAGAGAGATATAAACATGAAAAAAAGGGACAGCTAAATCACAGCTCAAAGCCCACCAGATTCTCTCACTTTCTCTGTCCTAAAAATGTCACTTTCCCTCTCTTCATAATAAGGATGACTTCATTTTTTATTATTTTTTAATTAATTGCATTAACATTCAACGCGCTCCCCAGCTAATCTTAATTGTTGAAACAGAATATTACCACCGAAAACCTTTTTGTTTTCAACGGAAAGAAGTACGCGGCAAATTATTTTAATTAAAATCCTTTTGTATAAAAATAATTGAAAATTGATCAAAATTCAATGTGGCCAAACATGGAATAAGTCACAGTGGTGCTGGCAAAGTTGTCAAATTATTTGGCCCTGTTTGATAGTCATTATTTAGCAAAAATAAAATTTTGAATAATGAATTTCGAGAAATGTATGGTTAAAAAGTAGAAAAAATTTTAAGTTTCCTTGAAAAATATTTTATTGTGTAATTAAAAATGAATATACAAAGATAGAAATTCTGAAATAATGATTGCCAAATAAGGGGTCAACGTTTAGGTTGGGAGCATGTTTGAGCTCTTTTTAGTATTAAAAAAAATTCCATTTTGAAAAGTAGAATGATGAAGATTGTGTAATTAAAAAATAAGGAAAATTTTTGAATTTAAGTATAATATTATTTTATTCAAAAATATACGATTAAAAAAAGAAAAAAATGAATTTTGAAAATAACGTTGATCAAACATGTGTGCCCTGGTTAGATGCCCGAATCTTTAAGGCAGGCCGAGTGTGGGGTTTGTTTGTTTGTTATGTTTAAAATTAATTTATTCGGGGTGAAGTTAAGAGGTCTAATCAAGAGAAACCCTTGTCTTGTCAACTTTCAAGAATTAATGAAATGGGCAGTAACGTAACGCGAAATTAAAGCAGCATTAATCCATTTGTTTATGCGTTTGCAATTTTCCCCTCTCAATTTTTATTGACTTCTTCCGTTCTTCGCATCAACTTAGGAGCGTCCACATGGACATGGGATACGAATCAAAGAAAACCAAATTTTTGAAAGGTTTTTTTGGCTGAAGATAAAAATAATTAAATATTTTTATCAAAATACTTTTTATTAAGCAATAAAATAGAATTAACTTAAAATTTATATTTGGTTTACTAATTTAGTGTATGTTTGGTTCTGATTTTTCAGATTCTTCACTCCAAAAAAATAAAAAATAAAAAAAATTTAACCGTTACTTCTATAAGTCAGCTGTGATTTTTTTACTTTTTCTCTCATAGATGAGATCCAATTTTCTCTCTAACGGTCAAAAAATCAATTTTCATAATCACTACCGACTAAACCCTTAATCAAAATCAATCAAACATCAAATGTATTTTTCGTGTTAATGTTAGGTGATATACATAGGGATCATATGAGAGGAATAAAAGAAAAGCAAATTTACAAAAGGTTTTAAGGATGAAAATTTTTATTTTCAATTATTTAATTTAAAATTAGAACTGGCGCTTTCATTAAATTTGATCAATTATATTGGTCAAAATATATTGCAAATTAGTAAAATGGACTCCGATATGAGCAAAATTGAACTCCCAAACGGAAAAAGATAAATTCATCAATGAATAAATGTATTGTAAAACATATTGAAAATAAAATAGTTAAAAGACATCTTTGTCTTAATGTTAAGCGATAATGTCTCTCTCTTACACACAATTTCCTTAAAAAGAGTTAAAAAAGTAAATTGAAGGTTTTACTCTTGATAATGGTTACTTGGAAAACCAGGTCAAAGCCAAACGGAAATTTCAATCCTGTTAAATACTAATTTAAATATCTTTGAAAGATGTAAGAATTCCAATTTAAGGTTTTGTTTTGTAATAATTAATAAATTTACGATTACTTGAAAAGTAGAAAAAATTCTTAATAAGCACTGTTAGTAAATTATTTCTATAAATATTCTATATAATTTTTATAACGAAATGATTTATTCAAAAAAATGTAAAAATTTAAAAATTTGTGAGATTTAGCCCCTTCGATGGTCGTAATTTGGCAAAAACTTTGTTTGAATAGTGAATTTTTTGGAGAATGTGTCGTTAAAAGTACAAAAAAAA